CATAATGACTTGTCAATAATTCCATAATAATCGAATTTTTCACTACTAAATTCTCTATGTATATCAGGATATCGACCCAATATTTTATTACGAAAATAAGCACGATCACGAGTTGGATTAAATGATGCACTCACTTTGATTTCAGGGTAGTTTTTTGGAGAAACGTGAGATTTGATAGGTATACCCACCTCAGTCTCTAGCGATTGTTTGCCATTCTCAGTTATAATATCTTCCTCCAAGGTTTTCTTAGTTGGTGGAATATTTGAGTCAGAAATCCGTTCGCTAACATAATTTATGATATTTTGAATTTGTGTATAACTGAGGCTAGAAATTGCATTTGCGCTATATGAAACTTGTCTAATTTTTTCTATTCTTACCACACTGAAAAGCGTTCTAATTTTTCTAGATTTGAGAATTTTATGTAGTAAGTTCACATCTGTTATGTCTGGTAGAAGCTGTTTAATTTCGTGATACCAATATAAAATTGTATCTTGACCAGAATGAATCGCTTTTCGAAATATGCATACTATGGTCTGCGCTGAAACTGGAGACAAATCATTGATAGAAATGTCAATATCTTGCATTGAGTTTTCAACTACCATAGCTGAATTATTACCTCCAGTCGATATGGCAATCTGTTGCTGTAATTCTTGTTCTATAATTAGATTTGTTAATGGTTTATCAGGGGGAATCGATAAGTTCGATATTTTGTTCTGAGATTTTATTACTAGACATATCGGAAATTTGATCAGAAGATTTTTCGTGATTTTTAGTAACGGAAATTTCTTGGCTTAAAATCTGAATTCGTTAAACAAAGTTTAACAAGTGATCGGCAAATTTCTTGCAAAAAAGAAAATAAAGTATCAGAGAAAAATTATTCGCGAAATTTTAATCGGGCCTTATAATTATGCGAATATTAATATATCTGACGACGCAAATTCAAAATGCTCGTCATACCTGAGATGATGAAATTGGATTATATTTTTGATAACTTTTGCTAGACATGACGGCGTCAGTCCAAATTCTTCATCATGACCCGGTCGCCTGATCCAAGATAAAAGAAATCAGTAATTTTTTGCCGATCATTTTTGAAATAATTATTATTGGTAGGATGTATAATTGTTTGGTTGAGGGGAAATACTATATATTTTATTGCGTAGCAATGGCTCTTCGAGTCTAGACATTAGCTCCACTATTATATCACTGATGATGCAATCACGAATCATTTGTCACTTGAATGCTAAGAAATTCCGCTGACTCGTCAAATATATTTCGTCACGTGATATTAAAACCGCTTTCTCTATAGAGAAAGACGATCTTTATTTTTTAATTTTGTAGAAGTCATCTATCCGTTATCGTCCGTTAACATAGATCCGTTATCATTGATTAGCTATTCATCCGTTGTGTATTAGACAATGAGCAACAGTTAACAATCTTTCCTTGACTCGAGAAAACAAAGATCTTCGAACCTGTAAGAAAATAAAATTCTGCAAAATTCGGATTACGAGCTCCTGGATATTTACCAGATTCTGTATTTTCTGAAGCAATCATATTATATAACATATTACTACTCTTCTGAGATTTTCCATTTCGAATGATGATGCGAACACTAATGTATCGCTGACGACGCAATCGTGAATCATTCGTCACTGAATGCCAAGAAATTTCGCTATATTTTAGAAAATTTCGCTGACTTGACCGAGACTGGAAAAAATAAATATTTGACACATGATATTAAAACCGGAAGATATCGTTAAACATATAGGAGTTAAAATAGATAAGTCAGAAAAATACGATCTTAGTAGTATTGCTACTATTCCTATCAAATCTATTGGCATTGTTCGTAAATTACCTATTACATTATCTCCTAGTTGTTCTATATATGGAGATTTTGTTGTTGTAAAATATTTTAAGCCAATGTTAATATTTTCAAACCCTCTTCTCAAAAAATACAAATGCGCTATGAGGAGTTAGAAAAATCGCTATATACTACCCTTACATCTAAAGCTGAAATAAATGATCTTTGTGAAAAGTTGCAAATACGTTATGAAAAGCTACTCGAACATATCTTCTCTAGAGATGATAGCAATAATAAATTAAGTAGCTAATAGACGATTCATATTTGCTTTATTTTTCTCATCTCTTCTGACTTCTTTTTCATATAATGCATCTAGATCCTCACTATTTATTTTTTCGGTTTCATTAAGTGTGGATATTACTACATCAGAGTTATTAGTAGGTATTCGATCGGATATGCGAGAGCAGAGCTCATTATTACATAATACAGATTTAGACCGAGATTTGGAACTTCTCTTTTTTATTTCTGCATTAAGAGGAGTGGTAGATTCTGGATATAAAGT